TTGTAAAACAAAACTAATAATACCTTTATGGGTTACTTTGTCCAGGTTATTTTAAAAGTAATATTTGTAAAAGTTTGTAGTTTTGAAAATATCTTTGGTTATTTTACAATATTTCAGGAAGTTTTTTTTTTTTTGAAAAACAACATTCCAGGAAGTTTCTTTTGATTTTCGTTAAATTTCCCACGATTCTTCCTCTTGAAACCAGATTTTAATTTTTAATAATTTACTTTACTTTCCTTATTATTGTGTGTGTATATCCTATATATATTATCAATAGAAAAAGAATGACATATAGCTCCTCAATCTTTGGAGAGAGATGATAAACCCTACAAAAACTAATAATACCTTTATGGGTTACTTTGTCCTGTTCGTTTGGAGTTTTGTTTTGATAGAGGTTGGTTTAGGACAAAACCCAACAAATGAAATCAAAGTTGGAGTAGTTCTTGATCTCCAAACTCCTTTTTCTAAGATCTGCCTCACTTCCATTAACATGTCCTTGTCCGATTTCTACGAAAATCATGCTAATTCCACCACAAGACTTGCGATTCACGTCAGAGATTCCATGGAAGATGCTGTCCAGGCTTCAGCTGCAGGTTCGGTGTTCCCTCTCTCTATATATATACAAGACTATTCAACAATATTCAACATTTCGAATACAAACTTCATTTGAATATGAAATTCAATCATAGAATAACAACGCCCGTTTTTTACTTCATAAGATATTGATGTAATTCAAACTCGAATGCTTTTTTATTGAGCCGGGCTATCCAACAACATATACCCGATTTAGATTTTGTAAGAGCATCTCCAACCCACTTTTATTTTTTTTTGCTGTGGTTGCTCTTTTTTTTTCAAACAATCTCAATTTTCAATTCTAAAATAGAAAAAATAGAAAAATACTATAGAATAGAAAAAAAATAAAAGAATACTATTTTTGTTCTATACTTGGAAGAAATAAATGTATGTTTTGTTTTACTTTTAAATAGATGAGAAAATAGCATTGTTCTAAGATAAAAAAAAATATTACTTTTTCTTGAAAATTAAGATAAAAGATATTACATCGGAGAGAAAATGAAATAGTGTTATTTTCTATGCTATT